GATGGATGATGATGGATGGATGATGGATGATGATGAAAACCTTGGGAAACGTGAAGGAAAACTTGCAAGTCAAGTAACGTAACTTGTAAAACAAGTTACGTTACAAAAATCCGTAAGGTTACTTGTAAACTTGAAAACGCGATTTTATCTAGATTACGTAATTTATAAACGATAAAACGTAATATAACTTGAAACGAGAAACGAGATGAAGATTGAAAGATGAGTWYTTAAAATAAAMSTTRAGAAAGAAATTAAAACTACAAAGATCGAATCGTGAAAAGTTAACGAGAACCGAAGGCTTCGAACCGAAAGGAATATTCTTGGGAGCAACTTACAAAAGATTATACATAAATCTCCTAAAAGTATTTGTGAATTAGAGAGTTGGTTACCAAAAAAGTTTTTTAAAACAAAGCCTAAGGCTTGTATTTATAGTCCAAGCAAGGTCCCCAAAGTGGATGCCAACTAATAAGACAAAAAGCCTCTCCAAGCTGGGCCTTGACTAAGCCCATGGGCGTTGACCAAGCCTTGCTCTTGAATTAGCCCATGATTCCACGGCCCAAGCAGTTTCCAGCTCTCGGACAGGTCCTATAGGACTGCTGCAGGACCGGGCCCAGAAATGCTCAAAAACCTGCAAAAACAGGGGATTAACATTAGATATATAATATAACTACTATCATATGAAAAAGATATAAAAAGACTCAATTAGGACACTAATGGGCAAATAAAACAGCGGAAAATGGTTAAGAAAATGATGTAATAAGGTTAATAAATTAACACTTATCACTTGTCATTGAGCTTCTCATGATAGTCTAATCATAAGGATAAACAGAGTGTACCATGCATATCGGCACTTATGGCTGGTCTAGAATCGATCGAGAGAATGTGTTTGGGAAGTCAATGATACACAAGTCTCAACTTTAATTGGATTATAATTCATTGTTGGAGGCTTTATTTTAATTATTTATCGTCTTTAATTATTTGTATGCTTAGTCTAGTATTTCAATCTGACCCCCGACCTTTTACCCAAAGTGTAGAAGTTTGACAAGTTCACGTCCAATCCCTGTGGATTCGACCCTACTTACCACTATTACAATTTAGGTTGTAATTTAAGGTAAGTATGATTTTGTTATTTGTCGGGCTCGGCACCTGTCATTGTTTCTCTGATTCCGAAAAAACGTATAACTAATTTAGAAGAGGTTGTAGTGATTGAAGGTACTCCGATAAAAATCAGGCCAAGGTTTGAGATTTTAAGCAAGCTTTTATTGAAATGATAAAGAAGAGGAGGAGAGCGGGACTGATTTTGGCCAAAAATCTATTATCCGCGTTTCAGATGGTAGTTGATAGAGGAAAGGGTGATACACCTGCAAGATAAGGCCAAAAACTTGACTTTACTAACCATGCGAGAAAAGCCCTTTCTATCTTCTTAGTCAAGCGCGCTAGCTGCAATCAAACTAAAACAGTCAGCCAGATGGGGATGAAGTCAAGTCCGCATGGCCTTTATGGGCTGGGTTGGTTGTTGCCCTATCAAGATGTGTCCCTTCCTTTAACCCCTTTTTCCGCTCATTAGTGGATATTGCCTTACGCATAAGCCGTCAAACAAAACCTGCAATTTAGGAAAGGCTATAATGGCCATCCTCTCGAGCCCCGTCCCTCGATAAGATGTGTAGCAGGTTCTCTCACTTTTTGGCGCCAAACCTGTCAGCCCGGCCATCGAGAATCGAGGAATGACCATGTAGTCCTTCCCTTACGGGGTCCCGAGGGTTCATTTCATTCATTATGAACTCAAAAGTGAAGATCTTAAAAACTTCATAGAATTCTTTGTCCTTCCCACTGGTATGACCCCCAGAATAAAAAGTAGAGTTGTACACATTCGTTAAGCATGTGTACATTAATATTCATTTAATAAAAAAAGGTAAACAACCAAAATGCCTTCATATAAGGGGACTTAACAACCTCCACTAACGACCGTTACGTTGATGGACCAAATTTGTAATAATTTGCAAACCATAGTCACTGCTAATGTAATAAATGAACCATATGGATGAAATCCATAATTTCTGACATGCCACAAGGACCAAGGCATAGTTAGCTCTTTAACTATTTATCATATGATTTAAAATCTGGTCTTCTTTTACCCGAATAAAAAATATTGATTTATAGGGCTTTCTGGATTCAACAATGCCTAATTTGGTTTATAGGACCAACCATTGTGTAAATGGGCTCGGTTTGGTGGCGATATACATCTCTATATGGATAGATATGTGTTACCAATGATAGACCAACATATGTATGTATATATGTATTTCCAGATGAATGTATAGGTGTGTTCAGTGTCCAGATATTTTGCACATGTTTCAAATGGCAAAATAATATATATATATATATATATATATATATATATATATATAACTACTAATAAAAATTAATATATAATACATGTTAAATCATGATCCGAGTAATTTAAACCATACGGTGCAGTCTAAAAAGCACAAACCATAAAATCATATTGCAAGGGTTCTAAACCATAGAGGCTTGCGCAACAGCTGCCATGGCATGTCGTGACTCAATACTTGTGTCTCACAACATGTTAAGCATGTGACATGCCATGGCTTAATGCATGGTTTTTGTACCACGACATTTGATTTTTCCTTACGTTTTGAATGTCTTATTTGCTAATTTTTAATTTATAACATAATTTAACCTGTTTATTATCATTTACTCATTGAGTAATGGTACAGACCACATATTTTTTTCATATATATATTATGATATATGATATGCAGATTTGCCACCATAAATTACGTATTGAATAATGTCATAGCCTCGTTGTGGCTTATTGTTTGGTCTCGTCATCATGCCACGTCTCATGCCATTTACAACCTTGATTTTAGTGCGACGAATTTGAATTATACGGTGTTGTGTGATACAAAACGTGGGTAGTATCTTTAAAACCACACAGTTTTCTTGTTATGTCCGACCCGATCCTATCCACGTGCCAAACGCCTACCCTACTAACTTAACCCCAATTTTGAGCAAACCCCAACTTATTGTTGAAAGTTTTGTCACTAAGGGGCCGTTTACTGGATACTTACTCGGTAAGTGTTTATAGGTAAAATTAACACTATTATTTACTTATGCGGTAAGATTTTAGTCCACCAAAACGACATTGCATGCAACAATTTACCCGGTAAACGCTTACCGTGTAAGAGTCGTTGCACTTACTTACCGGATAAGACTCTTGGTTATTGTCTAGTTTTTACCATGTAAGATTTTTGGTTCTTACCATATTCATCCAAAAAGGTAACGTAACTTGGTAGACATTTACTCGGATAAGCATTTGGTAAACTTTACTTAATTTGCATACCCACAAAATTTTAGGTACCAAATTGTAATTTAAGTGGCTTCCCTCACTCGGAACACATGAACTTGGTTGCCTATTGCAGACTTCGCTCTCACCATTTTCATGGCTTCTTTCATCTTCTTGAGATCAATCAGAGAAACCAAGAATTTACTTCCCCTTACTTACCCTGTTAACAACTTACACACTTACTTTTTATCTTCACTCTGCCACGGAAAACACCCGCCACCGCCACCGCTACCATCATCACAATCACCACCAGTAGCTAAAAAAGTGCCATTCGAAGTCTCAATTCATGGGGTTTCTTGGCAAGATCCATATCACTGGATGTCTAACACCCATCACCCTGATTTCATTAACTACCTTCGCCATGAGAACTCTTACTCGGAATCGTTCATGGCCGATACCCACAACCAGCAGAACATTCTGTATTCCGAGATGATTAGTCGATTGCCTAATCAAATTTCCACCCCACCTGAACGATGGGGTCCCTGGTACGATCTATATTTTGTTTTATTCGCTTGCCGCTAAATCATCTTATTTTGATTTTGGAGGTGATTACTCATCGATTTTTGAGTTCAATTGTGATACATTGTTCTATATTGAAACCAATAAGTTGTAGGTGGCGATATTTGTTATGAAGTGTAGAGGACTTATCAAGTTTGACATGAATAACTGAATAATGTATTTGGATTTTTGATGTCGAGAGTCAAATTTTATGCATTTTGGCTTTGATATTTGATTTCTACTTGTAATTGTAAAGGGGGATTGAAAGGGATCACACATATTTGCACACCTGGGTCCTGGGGGTGTTTGTAGCTCAGGGGCGGAACTACTTTGCTCAAATATACAACATGTTTAAGTTCGAATCATGAGGGAGGCAGGCTTGAACCCCTTTGCTAGCCGCGGCCACTGAGTCACTGAAATGTCACCTCACATGTGGTTCCTAAGTGGCGTGATCCATGTGGAGCCGGTTGAGGTTGCGGAACCTTTTGCTAAAATATTTGCACTTCTGGGGAATATTTATATGGTCATATACGATGCCTTTGTTGCAGAAGTAGATTCATATCATAAAAATGAGTTCACTAGAATTTGTTTTGTTGCACCTCTTGGTAGTACTCCCTACAGAGCCAAAATAGCTATATTTTAAACTTTCGGGAGTCGAAGCCTATGTCTGTCAAAATAGTTGGTGAGGGAAGTTTTGTTAGGAACCCAAGACTGATTAGAAACCCAGGAACCACACACCGCGCACGCCTTCCTCTTCAGGATGAATATTCATCATGAATCACACATTCATGATGCATATGTTACAACATTCATGATGAATAACACGTTCATATTCTTGATGAATATGCCACGTGTCATGTCGTGGCGGTCCTCCGGTTCCTAATTGAACTTGCCTTCTAGCTGAAACGGTTGAAAAGTTAGTTGTTAGCTAACAAGCTAGCTCATAAACTAGTGATGTTTGGTAAAAAAAACTGGCCGATAAACTAGGGACGGTATAAACTAGATGGCAATGTTTGAAAATTTAATTGGGAAAAAATAAGGGGTAAAATTGGAAGAAAGCCCATTGAGCTTATTGAAACGCTACTTGAAGCAGTTTTTCAAAAAGCTAGATTATGTGTAACCAAACGGGAAGATACATCATGTATAGGAAAGACATGCAAGCTACACGAATATTCTTGAATTTCGGTTTTTCGTTTCTATTTGTGGATGTTTTATGCAATAAACTTGAATCATGTGTTTCTATTTTATGCAGTTGTGTGCAGACTGGCTGTTGAAGTTGATATGGTCCAATTTATACAGCACTGGCTGTTGAATCATTTGTTTCTATTTTAGCAATCGTTGTTTTGACATAATGATTTGATTTTTCGCTTATGGGATCAATTAGGTTGTATTATCAGTATATACCGGAGAGAAAAGAATATCCTGTTTTATGTCGGAAATTGGCTGTTGAAAGTCCAAACTGGTTGAAGTATATGGCCAACCATGCAAGAAGAAGAATTGTAAATGAAGAAATATTACTCGATTGGAATGAAATTGCAAAAGAATATGGTAAGTAAAATCGTGGACTATTTGATTTTGGCATGCACATTTTGAGCTCTCAACAAGTCACATTGTGCTCAATAACCTACTTTCCGTTTCTACCCTTAATTATGAGATGAAGAAATTCATTTTTCTCTCTATTTTTTGAGTATATAATATATATATACAACAAATACTCACACACACTCCTCACGTTTGATGAGGCTTGAGCCCTTGACCTCCAAGGAGGCTAGGATTTTTGGGTAATCCTGGTACCATGGGGCCAATGACCCTTTGGTATTACTCCCACTATTTTTAAGGGTAAAATTGTCATTTAGTTAATTAAGAAGAGTAATAATCACATGTTTCTAAAACGGTGTACCGTTTTCATTGTGGACATTTATTTTGGGACAGAGGGAGTATTATGCATGTGTGATTAGCAATCCTAACATAGCATAATCAAGATGTAAAGCAAAAACTTGCGCCTTTCGATATTTAGAGAAATAATTTCATTCTACCCTTATTTAAAGCAAAAACTTGCGCCTTTTCCCATTCTACCCTTAATTACGAGATGAAGAAATTAATTACTCCCTTTGGTACTAAGGGCAAAACTCAGTTCATTAAAAATGTAATAATTACACTTTTTCAAAACTGTGCATTTTCATTGTGGACACTTATTTTGGGACGGAGGGAATATTACTTATCTTCAGTTTTACGTCATTTGGTTTTTTGGTTACTTTGTTATGTGCAGGGTATGTTCACGTGGGTACGTGTAGAGTATCACCTGACCACCATTTTCTTGCTTACACTGTTGACTTGACTGGAAAAGAACGCTTTCTTCTTCAAGTTAAGGATCTCCAACGTGGGTGCAATATAACAACGATAAGGACTGAAGATGTCGTTAGCTTGGCTTGGGCTCAAGATAGTCGTACATTGTTTTATACGTTATGTGATCAAAGTCAACGACCATATAGGTAAGCTTCATAAACACAACTATCTTGTTCGATTTCAAGTGTCATCTTTACAAAAAAATTACAGATTCCTCTTAAAATGGACAGAGTACAATACACAACGCTGGGATCAGATCCTGTTAGTGATGTCATTGTATATACAGAAAAGGATTCAAGATTTTGTGTGGACATCACGAGCACAAAGGATGGAAAATTCATTACTGTGAATTCGAACTCGAGGACTTCATCTGAGGAACGTATCTATATCACGGGATATTTAGGGTGCGTTTGATACTTTGATACTTGGGACAGGACGGTACAAAAAACTTGTTGTCTCACATTTGGCACGACATTAAAAAAAAGTGGAACAAAAATCAGGGAGATGGGACAAGATTGATAAATTACTAAACTACCCATGTCAAATTAAAATCATAAAACCTTCCAGAATTCTTTCACGTCCCTACCTAACTCTCGACAGTCATGTACAGTCCTATCCATGTACCAAATACACCCTTACATACTTTTGTTTTTCTGGAGAAAAACTCGTGGGTTATTTTAAATCTTGATGGTTACGTTACAGGTGTACGTAGTAGATTCAAATAACCCAAAAGACGGCTTTCGAAAAATTCATGATCGTGTTTCTGGCGTACAATTCTTCTTGGAGCATCATAAAGGATTCTTTTATATTCTAACAAACTCGCATCTATGCAATGGAAAGGAATTATTAGACGGAAACTATTACTTGGCTCGATGCCATGTTGAGGGTGCTAAGCTGACTAATTGGCAGGTGTTTTTCTAATGATGTTTCCTTTATGGTACCTTTATTTGTTCTAAAGATTATGTTGAATCGAATTCTTTTGTCTTAGAAAATAATTACACCAAAGAAAGGTACTGGCATACAAGATATGGACGTTTTCGATGAGCATCTGGTGCTTTACCTCAACGGAAAAAATTCCCCGATAATTTGTTCCATCAAAATGCCCATTCAACCCAGCGATGAGGTATATGAGATGCCCTCCGTTGTACTATGTTGAACCATTGTATTCTTCTCTCTGTCCCATAATAAGTGTCAACATTTATATTTTAGTTTGTCTGAAAATAAGTGTCCACTTTCAAAAGTAAGTGCCTACTTTCCAATTTTTATTCTTAATTAGAGATAGAGAAATTCATTACTCTCTTTATTATCAAGGGTAAATTTGACCTTTAGTTAATTTAAAAGTGTAATAATAATATGTTTCTAAAACTGTGTGTCCTTTTCATTGTGGACATTTATTTTGGGACGAAGGAAGTACCAAATTTTGAAGTTACTGGAAATGAGCATGTTCTCATTTTCTAATTACAGAAAGAACTGGAGATTGATGATCTTGATCCATGGTATTTCCCTATGCCATCAAACTCATGTAGCGTTGTTCCAGGATCGAACCATGACTTCACAAACTCGGTATACAGAGTGGTGCTTTCATCTCCGGTGGTATAATTTCTAACCCAAAATTTCCTTTTTCACTCAATCATTTAAATTGTTTTTGTAGTTTCTTCTTGTTATTGGAGTGCTCCATATTAAAGGTTGAGGGTCTTTTTGGTTTTAACCGCCTAACTCTTTGGAGGAGAGGTCAAGTGTGCATACATCCCCAGACCACACTTATGAGTCAGGGATTGGTTTGGTTTCTTGTTATTAGAATTATCTATCTTGAAATGTCAGTCTTTGGGTGTCCATACTTTTAGTTGGTGAGTACCGGTAGCCCTTAACGACACTTTCGTAATTTTCTTTTTTGAAGTATATAATATTTATATATATGGCAAATGCAACTAATAAGCCCACACACCCTCTTCACCTTTCGTGAGGTTTGAACCCCTGACCTCCTAGGAGGCCAAGGACTACGATACCACTAAGCCAAAGGCCCTTTGGTGACACTTTCATAATTGATATAAATTAAATATTGAATCTTTCTTATATACACTAATAATCAAATCATTATGATGTACCAGAACAAATAATGCCATTACATCAACTATAATCAACAAATTTTAAGAATATGTATAATCTTAAGGGCCAACTCAATTGGCAAATAAAGGCAGACCTTGGGCTCCTTGGTTGCCAGTTTGAGCCTCCGTAGGGCCATTGGGATTTTCCTGGCTATTATTTTCAGGGACCCATGTGATTAGTCGAGGCGCGTGCAAGCTGGCCCGAACACCCATGGTTACCAAAAGAAATCATAGAACTTTGCAGCCCGACACAATTTAAGATGTTGAATGGTTCCGATTATATTTTCTATCCAACTAACAAAAAATATTGATTTTGATTCTAACGGGTGCTTGGTGTTAAAACTTTTTTCATAATACATGTTTTTAACCGCAGATGCCGGATTTAATTGTTGACTATGACATGTCCAGAAGATCGTTCTCCATTGTGCATCAAGAGGAGGTATTGGGAATTTCTTCCCAAGCCCGCAACAATGAAGCACATGAATGGATGAACATTTCCGATGCATATTTTTGTGAAAGAAAGGAAGTCCTTTCTGAGGATGGTACGATAGTTCCTCTAACAATATTGTATTCCCATAAGGCACATAAAATGGGCCAATCTCCCGGGATTTTACATGGCTATGGATCCTATGGGGAAGCTTTGGACAAAAATTGGTGTGCCGAGCGACTGAGCTTGCTTGATCGTGGTTGGGTGGTTGCATTTGCAGATGTTAGGTATACATGGCCATATTTTCTTTAGAAACATACGTGCAATACACCAAAGGGTCATTGCCTAGCAGTATATGTGTTACCAGTAGATCCCAACCTCCCTCCCAACCTCCCTGGAGGTCAAGGGTTCAAGCCTCACCAAAGGTGAGGGGAGTGTGTGTGAGTTTTGTTTGTATATAAATATTATATACTTCAAAAAAACCTAGGCATAAGAGCATCTCCAACAGATTCTCTATAATTTTTCTAAAATAGAGAACCAAAAGTTAAAATCCCTTAAGAAAGTTACATGCAACTCCTATAGATTCTCTATTTTAGAGATTTCAACATTAATTATATTATTAAAAAAAATTATAATTTTATCATCCCAATACACTTTTTAAAAAAACTTTATACAAAATAATGATAATAATTTAATCTCACTGGTGGGAACAAATAAAAAATTCATTTCTCTCTCCTCACATAAAGTTTTAGAGAATTCGCTAAACTTGGAGTTTTCTCTACTGTAGAGAACAATATAGAGAATCTGTTGGAGCAAAATATAAAAACAAAATCCACATTTTCTTTATTTTCGAGAATCTGTTGGAGATGCTTTAACGTGCCAGTGTTGTATTTAAGTTTTGTTGTGACATGGGGTGTTTCAATTTCTACCAATTGTTTTTGACAAACTTCATTGAGCACTCGGTGTTCCACCCACTAAAAGCTTTCTGCAAACTTTTTTTGCAAATTGGGGGTCTTCATGGAAATAGATGCTTTACTCTTTTTGGATAGGGGTCAGGTCTGTGTACACTTTACCCCCCGTCTCTACTTCCAAAGTGGGACATACTGAGCAGGTTTGGTTTGGTTATACTTAATAGGTTTTTTATATGTGCAGAGGTGGTGGTGGTGATGATCCATCATGGCATAAATGTGGAAGTGGATTGAACAAATTGAAATCCATATATGATTTTGTTTCATGTGGAGACTATCTAATAAAAGAGGGATATGTCCATAAAGACCAACTTGCTGCTGTTGGGCATAGTGCCGGAGGTCTTCTTGTTGGCGCAGCCATTAATATGCATCCGAAGTTATTCAGAGCTGCCATTCTGAAGGTAACGGCATTCATGCTTTCTTTTTATAACATAGGAATCCATAAACGTTAATTTCGAACTCAGAACCTGCTTCAACCACTTGAGAAGCCCAGTTGGGCAGAATTTGGTCGTGTTATTGTTTTCTTTTTATAACGTAATCGTGGGTATGGATTGCATGCCAGGGGTCTTTATTGAAATCACCTTTTTACCCCTTGGGTAGAGGAAAAGTTGCATACATCTTACCCTCCTCTGACTCCACTTTTTGTGTGGGATTCATTGGGTTTGTTTGGTTTGGTTTTGTAATCGTTGGTATGGGGAAGTAACATGTGAACGTTTTCACCAGGTTCCGTTTCTTGATATATGTAATACGTTATTGGATCCGAGCCTCCCGCTCACGGTACTAGATTATGAAGAATTTGGAAATCCTCAAATAAAATCGTACTTCCATTCGATTATGAAGTATTCTCCTTATGATAATATCTCTCAAGGAACTTGCTATCCTGCAATGCTTGTCACAGCATCTTTTCATGACTCGAGGTACACTTATTTACGAGAATTTTTATTCATTATGAATAGATTGAGTGATTTGTTGAATCATCTTACGTTGTTTTCGTTGCAAACTAACTATTGTTCTTCCGAAAATGCAAAAAGAACCCTACGATTGTGCAAGGACGAGTGATTTTGGACAAATTGGGGGAATATAATGCAGAAGATAAACAAGAGTTGGGTTCAAATGAGAACAGAACACGAGAACGGCCAAATCACATGTGATTTTACACTAAAATCACGTGTAAAATCACATGTGATTCATGTGAATTTGACCATGTTCCCTAATCGCATATGATTTCAGTGCCAAATCACATGTGATTTGGTCGTTTTCGTGTTTTCTTATTTCGACCCTGTTTGATTCTTATCATACTCGACACATTTTTTGGTCCAAAATTGTTCATTCTCGCGAACTATAGTGTTAATTTTTATGGCATTTTTGCAAAAATCCTGGTTAGTTTATGATGGTCGGGAAAACCAATCTCTTGTTTTGAATTCGTATCTATTTTAGAGTTGGAGTATGGGAAGCTGCTAAATATGTGGCGAGAATACGAGAAACCACATGTTCAAATTGTTCTCATTCGGTCATCTTGAAGACGAATATGAGCGGGGGCCATTTTGGTGAAGGCGGGCGATCTGGGCAGTGCGAGGAACTGGCCTACGAATATGCTTTTCTGATGAAGGTTATGGACCCGTTAGATGCAAACGAAAGGGATTCCAACTAAAAATCAGGTATGTCCTACTTATATGTGTCTTCCATTGAAAAACAAAGGGTGAAACACCATTGTTCTTCTGTGAGAATATGTGGGACCCTATTAGATTACTTTTCAAAAGAGCCTTTTGAGGAGTGAATGGAGGTTTTAACATATACTGAGGAAAAATGGTACAAGTTAGCTGATGTGGGACCCTAATATCTTCTCTACTGAACGACCACCCTTGTGGGATCTATTTAAAAATTATAGAGCGGTTCATAATTGTTCTTTTTATTTATTTATAGGTTTATGAAATGAATAGGAGGGAGAAAGCTTATGTGGCGGATACGGGTCCATGACTACGGATGCTCTTACTGTTCTCGTAGAGGAACCCACTCTCTGACATTGGATCTTCAAGATCGTTAGTTGCTTGATACCTGCAACGTAGGTCCCCTGTTCGAAGTCAAGCTTATAGATTGGCATGGACACAAATGAAGTGTCGTTTAACTCGGTCTCCTTTCACAATTGATGAGGAAATGTAGCCATTCGGCATTACGACCAAAATATAAAGAGGTTAGTCATGCTCGTGACGAGTTGAAGACGTGATTGTAAACCGAAGGGGGGGTTTTAGTTTTGCTTAATGAGCTTAATGGACTTACAGTTGAATTCGTTTATGGTTTACTTGTTTATTCCGGATTGATGTTAGACGCATGGCTTAATTCATTAAGCCAACTAATGTTTGTCTTCACCAATTCAATTTCAACCGATCCTTGGTCCCAAAAGTTACCATATTTCCCCTATTTTTTGGTTTATTTATACAAATTCTTTTCCTTATATATTGTGTTTTGGCCAAATGTTTTGTTGTTGTTTGCTTAGGGGCTGTTTGGCAGTTGCTGAATGGTTTGGTGCAGAATGGTTAAGTGGTCAGAATGGTTAAGAGGGCCAGAATGGTTAAGTGCTGAATGAAATAATGTTGTTTGGTAATTGTTATATGAATGACAGTAAATTACCATTTTAACCCTCATTCACATTTTCTTTGAAGTTGAAGTTGGATAATGTGTTAGGGCCGATTAACCAATCTGCTTTATCGATTCAAGAATCAAGAACGAAAACCCTAACCAATCTGCTTCATCGATTCAAGAATCAAGAACGAAAACCCTAACCAATCTGCTTCATCGATTCAAGAATCAAGAACGAAAACCCTAACCAAAATCTGCTTCATCAATTGCCAATCTGCTTCATTAATCATAAACAAAAAAAACCAAAACCCTAACCAAAATCTGGTTGGATTCAACTGGGTGTGTACGTTGGGTCCAATTTGGGGCTCCCGAACGCTGGGCGACGAGTTCGTGAAGGCAACAGGTGACCGGCGATGGCGAGGGGCGATGGCGAAAACCTAATCGAAGCTGTGGAAGGTCGTCGGCGATGGAAGCTGTGGAGTCTCACAGGCTATCATCGGTCGAGCGACAACCGAAGACGGGGACGGAGATGGTGGAAGCTGGGAAGGCGACGTGAACTCAGTGAAGGCGACGGAAGCTGTGGACGGTCGCCGGCGATGGAAGCTGTGGAAGGTCGCCGACGATGGAGATGGGGGGAAGGGTAACCGGCGACGAGAGGAAGGAGAGGGTGGGGGAGGAGCTGTGAGCGACGAGGAAGGGGGTAAAATTGGAAAAAGAAGGATCTGAATGGTTGAGTGAGGTACCAGATGCAAAATGGTTAAGAGGTGTTTGTAACCATTAAGATGTGGTTTTTTTTTTGCCAAACACTTGCAACCTCTTACCGATTCAGCGATTGGCTCTTAATGTAACCATTAAGAGCCTACCAAACAGCCCCTTAATGTCTTATCCACATTTATTAAATTTCATCTTATGTTTGAGTTATTAATATTGTTTTGAAATAATAAAATATATATATATATATTAAAGGAAGAAACAAAGAGTTGTTCAATGAGTTTTTTTTTATATTATTTATCTTTTTTCTCATTATTTTGATTTATTTTTAATATACAATTAACACATTAATTGCTAACCCTTTTATTTTCTTATCTTTTAACTTCATTTTCATTATTTTATAAAAAAAATTTGAAATCACAAATATATAAAACAACATATAATTTTATTTAGGGAAAATTGCACCAAAATGGAACAACTTTCACCTAATTCCTATTTTATGGAACCAACTTTCAAAATCGTCATTTTGGAGAATTAAATTGCATTTGATTCCTATTTTGGGGAACCAGCTTTCAAAATCGTCATTTTAGGGAACAAACTTGCACCTGATTCCTATTTTGGGGAACCAACTTGCAAAATAATTATAGAAAAATAACTAAAGTTCTTTTTTTTTTTCCAAAAATTAATGCAATAAAATCTATTTTTCATTTCAAATTTCGTTTTTTTAATTCAAATATTAAATTGAACATTTAAAAAAAAAATCCAAATTAGCACAATAAAATTTGTTTTTTACTAATGCAAAAAAAATCAATTTAATAAAAAAAAAATTAATTGATGCAACTGGTTAGATATAAAAATCTTGAATATGATATTTAATATTTATTTTTTATTGCATCAATTAATTTTTTCTATTAAATTGATTTTTTTGCATTAGTAAAAAACAATTTTTATTGTGGTATTGGATTTTTTTTTAAATGTTCAATTTGATATCTGAATTAAAAAAACGAATTTTAGTTATTTTTCTCTAATTATTTTGCAAATTGGTTCCCCAAAATAAGAATCAGGTGCAAGTTGGTTCCACAAAATGACGATTTTGAAAGTTGGTTCCCCAAATTAAGAATCAGGTGCAAGTTGGTTCCCCAAAATATGAATCAGGTGCAAGTTGGTTGACCAAAATAACGATTTTGAAAGTTGGTTTCCCAAAATAAGAATTAGGTGAAAGTTGGTTCCATTTTGATGCAATTACCCTTTTTATTTACATCAATACATGTATATTTTTAATTACATGAACAATTGTAAAAATAGAAAATTTTGAAATACAAAACTACACTATTAAATAATGTGGTGTAATGTAAATTATTACTGTTTGTAATTCTTAAATCGTATTGTCATGCCCAATATAAATCTTCAAACTATCCTACGAGATCATGCGACTATCAATTAGTCAAGGTTTTAACTGTTGAACAATTTCGAATTTCATAAAATCATTATAACATGCATTGTTGATCCAAATTTTTCAATATAAAAACAGAACTACTACAATCACTATTAGAAAAAAACGAATTATAACAAAAGAAAAATGAACCAAATACATATCTTTTCTCTTCTCTAAAATCTACAACAAACAAGTGGGAGAGGCATGATTCGAACCTATATAGAAAAACTTCAACAGATTTACAATTTGTCATTTTTGACTACTCTCCCTTTCCCAGGCCAAGCCCTTCCCTCCATTTAAAATTAAATGTTCCCAATACCTTTTAATCTTGAGAGGGATACTCGATGAGGGGTAGATTAAAGGGTTGAGTTCCGTTGAGAGGGAGAGTTAAGGTGAAAAGCGTAAGAATAAATCTCCACCCTTTGATGCACATTAGGATGAGATGTACCAAGATGCATCCGAAAAGTTTTTTGTAAAACCTAAGGATAGAGAGGTGACACCATGAGAATTAAATATTCAAATATGATGAATTTGTGGTTGAGTTTTAGTTGTCCCAAATTGGTGAAGAGTTAAAATATTTGAACAAAGTGACGACCATAAAAAGATGGATGGTGTCTTTGTGTTAATTCATGGGGTTTTCCTCATTGGGTTGTCTTATTTTGGATAACCCTCTTTGAAATCTATAACCATGGTTGGAATCAAAACCAATCAAATGGTAAAAGTTATAAAATACAAAACTACAAGTGAAACCAAGGATGATGACTTGGCAACATGAGGTTTGATTTTTCCTCAAATCTGAAATAAAGTTGACTTTCATCATTTCACATTGATAGAAATATGATAGTTTGGAAGAAGATAATTGATGTATAAACACGTGATGGAGCTTTGAAATCTATAAGAAGATGATGGGTGTATAAAAGCATGATGGAGCTTTGAAATCTATAAGAAGATGATGGATGTATAAAAGCGTGATGGAGCTTGGAAATCTATAACAATGGTTGAAATAAAAACCAATCAATTGGTAATTTTTTTGTCCAAAACGAATGCAGATGATACATTTTTTTTTCTTAACAAGGGTTGTGATTATTGTAGTACTTATAATAACAAATGTAGTTTAAGTATCTATTATATCACTTATATATACATAGAATGAAAGTGTTGACCTAATGACGTGCTTTCATTTGATGTTAGTATTCTCCAATTCATGATTTACGGTGTTGGAAAGGACGTTATAAATATAAAAACAATCCAGAGTTTTCAGACACATTACACTCCCGCTCAAGTCGAGACTTTAACTTTTTTTTTCTTAAATTGAGTTTTGATCACCGCGCTATGCACGGTGTCAAACACTAGTTTTTATAATATGTTGTTGATGGTAGCGCATTCCCCCGCGGTGCGGTAAGGCACCACCCTGTTGTGCCAGCCGGTCCCATGGGGAGAGTTTTCTAATTGCATTTTGGACAAGAAAGGAAAAAAAAAACTTTTAAAGCTTGCTGACTAGGGTTAAAATCGTAATTTATGTCTTTCAGACTTTTATTTTGTACAAAAACAAACAATAATTATTTAAATCACTATAACTGGCTTAATACATATCCGG